TTAAGGCTCCGAGGGGACGATAAATAAGTCCCGCAGAGTTGTTGAAGCTCCGTGGGTTCGACAAATTAAACCTCTGTTGCCCTCTTAAGGAAAAAGCTGGGTTCGTATGGATCAGCAGCGCTTAGAGCACGCTCCTTTCCCGAACTCCACGTGCTTTCTCTCTCTCCAACTTGGGCGGAAACTACCCAAGCCTTTTGTACGGCTAGCAAGCCAATAGCTAGCCACCGCATATGCCTACATTAAGACTGGCCAATAATGTGGCGCGAATCCTAATACAAATGGCAGGGACTCCTTGTATCGCGCATTACTATAATGCAAAAGAAATGCACTATGCAAAGAAAGCTACAGAACTGGCGGGAAAAGCTCCTGCACGCGGGTTCTCTGTTGCAGCAGAACACTCCACCGTGCAAAAGAGCTGCAATTTGGCGGGAACATGATTTAGCGATGCTGAAGCACACACAAACAAAAAAAACCCACAACTTTGGGTTGCGACAAATACCATGTGGGCTGCCAGCTGGACAGCTCTGTTGTAGGCTTTCAGGTTAGGCATCTACCTCTTCCCACTAGCCAGATTTATCCACACAGAACAAGTCTGGGTTTGGCTTCCAAACTGAACTGGAATCATTCAAGTTACAAAGACTACATTCTACTACATCCTATTGTGTAATATTTAAGGTTTTATATAGACTTAGTTATTTGATACCTACCAGAACTTTTATGCAGGCAAGGTTCTTTGGGTAGCTGTGATATCTTTTATTAGACCAACCAAGTAGCTGGAAAAAAGTTAACTTTTTTTCAACTACTCAGTTGGTCTAATAAAGATACCACATCTGCTCAAAGAACCTTGCCTACCTATGTCCTTAGACCAACATGGCTACAACCAACAACTTAGCTTTTATGCATCACTCTTCATCCAGAGATCTTCAAGTACTTTATAAAGAAGTACGAAACATCATTATCCTCATTTTCTAGATGGGGAAACTGAGGCATAAGTGCTTGCCCAGGCTCATCTGGGCGAGCTTGAAATAGATTCTGGGTCTCTTAATTTCCCCATACAGTCTTCCCTTCATTTCCACCCTTTCATTAAGCAACAGGATTAGCATCTTTTTTACTCCCATCTTCCTCTCTCGGGAAATCACTGTATGAGGATTTCTTATTTTTATTTTATTTTTCCATGTAATCTCTGTGCAGTGTTCATTAGCAGGGGCAGAGCTAAAGATGCTCTCCTCCTACTTCAAATGGAAGGGAGTGTGGATCCTAGGCCTGGGTCAGGCTTTGTTGGCCAGTTTCTTCAGTTTGCATACAACCACTTACTCAAGACTCCCTAGGATCACCACTTCCAACCAGAATTGCCTCTCCGAACCCTCACAACCAATTATGAGGCACAGAACTGGATACTTGAAGACAGCCTTATAATATACCAAAGATTAAATCAGGGTGACCAGATCACTTCCAGTACTCTGCCACTGCAATGAAAGGGAAATAGTTTTTAATAGTTTGGTCTCATAGGATTCCTGGAAGAGGGACATACTTCATGTTAGTGAGGAAGGCATATGGCAGGTGAACTGGAAGGAAGATGCTTCCTCCCTTTCTGGGAGGAATATTTGAGATTTTGCCTCCACAAAACTACCTTTCCCCATGTGGTAGACAGTACCCCTGTGCCAGAGTAGCAGAGTAGGTCACTAGTGTCCTCATTCAGGACCTATGGGAATTCCTTTATGCTTTGGGGGCATCAGTCCTTGCACGTTCAGCGAGCAAATAAAACAGACAAAGATAAGGCATCTCCATATGCCCTATTAGTTTATTTTGGTAATATTAAATTTTGTCTTTAATTATTTGATGTACCATTTAAGTCCTTATAGTAAAAATAGTCACTTTTCAGTTCAGTTCTATTTTTCCATCTGAGCAGTTTTATATTAGGTGTTGGTATGTAATTTAACACCAATCTGTCATGAAGTGGCATGATTAATAAGGTATAACTTGTTTCCTTCTCATTCCAAAGTAAGACACCCTTAGAAGAAGCCACTAGAACTAAAACAAACTAGCATACAGACCTTTCCAAATTTTGGTTCACAAAGGTATACATTGAGAAATTTTGAGGGTTATTAATATTCCACTGGTTGAAAAAATGTTGGGAACTGTTGGCCTATGGCTGTGGTGCTTGATCTCTGGCCTGTGAGGCCATGTTATCTGGCCCATGGGTCTTCCCACAGGTCCAGAAATTTGGCAGCAGGAAAGCAGTGGCAGCACTGATTGCTGCTTCTCTGTTGCTTATGGGGTTTTCCATGGCTCTGGACATGACCCTGCACACTAGATCATGCCAATGCTTGGCCAGGCCAGCACACCAAATTGCATCTGCATGCTGACCCCATGTTGGATAAGGCCTGCAGTCTGATCCTGTATGTGGGATCTGACTCACAAAGTAGTACCACACCACTCATCTAACTCATGGGGCCAGAAGGTTGAGCATTGCTGTCCTAGGGTAAGCCTATTTAAAATGCAGTCTTATGAGGAAAAGACAGCCTTTGTACGGACCAGATGATAATTTCTGCTACTGTAGTCCTTTGGGGTCCCATCCATGACTGGGGCTCCTATGTGCTAAGTGCTATTAAAAGCCTCAGGAAAAAATACTTCATATTATACAGTGTAACGTCTTTGAGGTAGGAGTTGTCTTCCTGTTGCCTATTTGTGGGACTATAGCCCATGACTAAGGCCTCCAGACATTGCTGCAGTACGACTAATAATACTAACATATACCATGGGCGACTGGTCCCGCCCACCGGTGGGGGGGGGGGGGTAGGGGTGTCAATCTCACTGACATATACTAATATATTTGCCTGTCCAAAAGAGCCAGAGGGAAACTGGTGAAAAATGTCAGATTACTCCTGGTAACTTCATCTAACATTTGCAGTCCCTGAAAATGGTTGAGCAGGCTTAAAACTCCTTTCTTGCTAACTAGCTACTCCAGAAATGCAAGCAGATTACAGACACCTTAATTGATCTCAAGCACACTATATTCGTTCTTTTCTTTTTAGAACCTGTACGGAGGTTGGATTAAGAGAGGAGTCATAGTGAAAAAGAGTGTCTCTACGTGTCTCACATTTTGCATTTGACTCCTCCTTTCTGACAGGTTTGCCCATTCTATAACAGAGGCGAAGGGAATTGCGCTGAACAACATAATTGCACCAAACTTCACATTTGCCGGCACTTTCTCCATGGACAGTGTAGGTTTCCCAACTGCAAGAGATCCCACAGCCTTCTGAATTCAAAAGCACTGACGTTGCTGACACCGGTAGGGGTGAATGATAATGCGGCTCAAAACATCCAACTGATCTGTGATCACAAGCATGCTACATTTAGCCAGGAAATAAGCCAGAGGAAAAGTAAGTCATAACCAGGAGGTGGGCTTAAAGAACAGCATGAGCGATCTATTTCCTTTGTCTAGATGGGATGGATGGAGGCCATTTCTTGCTTATGTGCTTATTGAAGCTCTCTCCCCCCCCGGTTCTTTTCTGCTTCTAGCTCTCAACAATACTGAAGAAGCTAGAAATAAAAGGAAAGTACATACTGGCAATAAAGAAAAAAATGAGTCTACAGAAACTTCCAGTACACCTACCTCTCCATCATGTGCCTTTTCATCGGAAGCATCAACATCACAAGGTAAAGTGAGATGGGTGCCAGTTGAGCATGTCATCTGGCTGCTCTAAGTCTTGTCTGCTCTTTTTTGTTCTTAAGGGTGGTCTTAGAATTTAAATTCACTGCAAGTGAATCCTCTTTTAGCTTCAGCATTTGCTCTGTTCACAAAAAAGCAGCAAACAATGGCTCGACGTGTCATAGTGTATTGGAGAGTGCTCTGTGCAATATGTATCTGCTTCTCTTTTGGTATTTATAATGTATTTCCTGCCAGTGACTACTGTATAGGAAGCTGCTGCTAAGCATTGGTAATAGAATTAGCATTTAATTAGTTGGAAGGAACATGCCAGTTAGTAGAAGGGTGCTAGACAGAAGTGTCCAGCATTGCACTGGCAGAGAAAGATAGTTAGCTATATTAGAAATCAGGTAGAAGGCAGGGTAGATGGATACATTGTAGACTAACTGAATCAGAGATCTATAGCAGGGTTGTTGGTTGTAGCTGTGTTGGTCTACGAGCATAGGCAGGCAAGGCTCTTTGGGTAAATGTGATGTCTGTTATTAGACCAACTGAGTAGTTGGAAAAAAGTTCTTTTCAAGCATTTGGGCACAAGCACCCTTCTTGAGGCTTAGGGAGTGTGGGCCTGGGAGCATGCCCTTGTCAATCTCAATATCAGCCTGCCTGCCTCCCGTCTATGGGCAAACTGCCCGCATCACTCTCCTGCCATGCCTTTTTGTAATTTAATTAGGATGTTAATTAGGAGGGAGGCTGCCTTCGAGTGCCCAGCTGTATCATGGGTAGTATGTACATGCTCCAAGTTCCCCTTACACATGTCCCATGCCTTGCACGTCTCACTGTTTGTTAAATCTCTGGATCAAGGCCGAGCCAAACTGAGCACACAGTTGTCTCTCTCCCAGACTGCTCTTGCAGGTTACACACACTGCCCCCATCTCATTGGGGCCTCTTGCTCTCCACCCTCTCTCACTGGGCCTCTATCATTTCACCCCCTCTGGGGCCACATTCATACCACCCTGCTCCTTTGAGCGACCCTGTAGGGCCATCAGGCTTTGCTTTCCATGCCTTGGCCAGTTCTGGTGCAGCCTTTTAGGCCTCTCTCGCGGCCCTCATCTGCACGGAACTGGGCAATTAGTCAGCTCTGGACCAACTCTGCCTCTAGCCCCACCTGGGCCACGATGCCCCTTCCTCAGGGGCCCTGGATCAAACATCCCCCTCAGCCTCAGGTCT